TTAAACTTTTTGTCAATAAATCAACACTTAAAAATTGAAATTCGCAAGTAATGGTCCCTTCATTTAAAAAGAAAATGAAGGTGGAAAATTAATTCACACACATAATTTTTCAATGAAAATCACAATTTAATTGTTGAAATTTTACACTTTTTTTTTTTATGTCTTTTGAATTTTCCCACCATCCATTATGTTAGGTTGAGTCCTGAAGCTTGATGATGATAATTGGACCGTCTTGTAACCACTCGAATGTTTAAGCGAGTAACGGAGATAAGAGATATTTTTTGATGGTGTAGATTAATTAAATTATTAATTTAAATAATTGGAGGACATAAACATTATTCTAGAGCAAATTAATGTTAGTTGAATTCCATTATTGACTAGTTCATGGTTAACATCAACATGGAATCAGCCTTTGATGGAGGGTATCACCATCATCATCGAAAACTCTAATGTGGTTAGGGGTGTTCTAGAATTTAAGAAATAAATAATATAAGTGAATTTAATAAAATGTGGAGAATATTTAGGAAAAATAAGAAATTACTAAAATTTTACATAATCTAACCAAAAATCAACACTAAATATTTAAAATTTTAAATTGAAACTAAACCGATTAGCTGTTAACTGTTTTAGTAGCGTTTAGTTATTTACCATTTGAATAAATTTTTATAAAATGCTAAAAGTTAAATGTTACATGAATTAACTTCTTATAAAAAATACTACTTTAATCTCGAAAAGTTAATTCAAATTCTATGTTAGCAAACACTATAAAAGTAGCGTTTAACGTTTTAATTGGTCAAAAAGCTAACTGTCATTTAAAAAGTTGTTGCGGAATATGGGTCAAAATCGCACATATTTTTGTTAATTGATTTCAATATAAAATGCTACTTTTTTTTATTATAAAATATAATAGGAGGAAAATCAATACATGTATAAATAATATGCACAATTTGGGTCCCTAGAGCCATATATACAAGGGCCATGACCTATATATGTAATGTAGCTAACATTAAGCATGTAGTTGTCTTTTTGCCTTTTCTCCTATGATTGGTACATGTGATGGATTTATATACTTGTCTTAATGGCACATGTATATTTATATGTGTGTGTGTGTGTGTTTGAAATGGGTCCAATATATAAGATTTGAAAGTTCATAATATTGGATTCTTACTTCTACATTCTACCAAAGCATCTCACTGAACTGGCAATACATCACTGCACTCCAACACCCACATGCACATGAGTTCCTGTATGTTTTATAAAATCTATTTTAATATATATATTTCCCTTTTTTTTTTTTCAAAGTCTTGAATTTTTTTGTGGGAAATTAATTAAATCAATGGATGCATATATAACCTTTTGGAAAATTAGAAAGAAAAAGGAATCAGTAAAATTAATTGAATTAAAGAAATCAATAACCTTTTAACTTGTTCTTGCTATTAAAAACCTTCTTAAGAATGATTGAAATTAGCAGATGTTTTATGTATATGGAGAAGCCAATTTTCTCTCTCTAAGATCGCTCGTAATTTCCCTTTTAGCACCCATGTTTTAGAGACTTCCCTCTTAAGTTGGATGATTGGTTGTTACATGATTCTATTGGTACTGCAATGTACTCTAGATTGTGCTTGTCTTCTTAAAGGAATCTTTCTTTTCCGTGCTTGATTTATTCCTTTCTTGCTAGATTTGTAAAAAAAAAAGAACCATATGCCATATGACATATGTCCATACATGGATGCACATATATAATATTTAATCAAAAGAAAACCTTTTAAGAAAAATTACCAATTTCTCCTTATAATTTGCAAAAACTTGCATATGGATCTTTGTTTCAATGAAATAAAAAAATCTGAGAATCATAATATCAATAATCATTATGCTAGTTTTAGCTGTAAGGGGGACAAGAGGTGATGAGGTTGATTATAGAAAAGAAAGCAAAAACAGAATAGAACCATCAAACTAATAGACATAACTTGTAAAACTACAATGCATTTTGTAACAAATAGAAAGCCAATTGAAAAAAGACAAGTGAAAAGAATAGGGACAAAAGAACTAGAAAACATTGCATATCTCTAAAATCTATAATAATTGAATGGTTGATGGGCCTTATTTAAAAGGTAATATACATATGTGTCCATTAACATAGGACATTGACAATTTGACATATAGACAATGGCTAGCCAAGGATAGAAATTAAGTGACAGTGTTTTTTTTTTTTTTTTTGTTATAAGAGAGAGAGAGAGTTGGTTGCCTGTCTTTCATTTCATGCTAGCTTTGTGAATAAAATTTTCAGTTCTCATCATTCACATCAATTTTTTAGGGTTTTCTTATCTTATAGCAATCATCCATGCATCAAATGATAAATATGGAGGAGGTCTACAAAATAGTGACTGGGTGCCCTTAAAGTAGTGGGCTTTGAGGGCACATTTCTCATATCCTTTTTTGATATATAGTTCTTTAAAAGGACTGTTGCCTTATTGGAATTGGACCCATATCTCATTTTTGCCCCCCAAATGGTTTCACTTTGTTAAATTGTTATATCAAATAAAACTTATGCCTAAAGAAAACATCTTTGCATCTCTTTTTAGAGGCAAACTAAACACATAGACAAAGCTTAGGTTTTCACAAGAGGGGGCATGTCTTATCATGCATTGATATTTTTAACATTCACTTACTCTTTAGCCTCAAAATATCTCTTCTTGCCTTCTTGGCATGGAATTAGAACTATGAAGTCTCTACCTTTCCTTATGCTAAGTAGAAGCAACGTGAAAGATAATTTTATAGGAGATTTCAAGTTTGAGTCCTCTCGACCACAGTTGTTTTTACCAATTTGATAAGCGAAATGAAGGATTACCCATGTTGTGTAACCCAAAGTGTTATTTCGATATATTGGACTTTCAACGAATTAAAAAAGAAAAATCATTTTGTCATTCTTTTAGAATTAGCAAGTGCAAAAGTATCATCTCAAATATATTAATTTGTAATCATTAACAATTATTTTCAAAAATATTAATTAATTTCGGTTTAATATTACTGGAGTTATTATTTAAAATGTGAGTTTAATTAGTAAAGAAGTATGTCTAAATATAAATATATTGTAATCATTAAATCCTAAAATAGCTAAACAACCATAACATCTCCACCAAAATTCATTCATTTCATCTAATTGATTTTTTATTATTAGGTGCAATAATAGAAGCAATAATGTATAAATGTTAAATGAAAACTAATTAAATTTACAAAATGGTGATGTCTTCAATATCAAATATTCTAAACTGTGTGGTGCTTTCTAGCTGTGTTGTTTCACTTGGCGTAGAAGTTATCCCTTGAGCTTGTAGAAAGTTACTTTATTTTTTTCAATGGCTAGTCAATATCATCTTACCTTTCTTTTTTTTTTTTTTTTCCTTAAAAAATATTTTTAATTGCTTTTCAATTAGTTTTTCCTGGTCTCCTGCACAAAAACGACATTATTACCATTTAGGTTGGTAATTCAACGATGGAGTAAATTTCTATAGTATGAAAAATAGAAAAAGATTTGCCTATATGGGTATGTATGAGCATCCATATACTAAATCAATAGCAAAATACCGTTTTGTAATTTATCCATTTTTCAAATAAAAAGTCAAGAATACCCTCATTTTCACCAAATAGCTCTACCCTATCAGCTTGATTACCCGTACACTAGGAGTAAGTAAGTCTAAACAAAATATTATAGCTCAATGCACAAAAGGACACCCCCGTCATTGTCCCAAATGAATTTTAATGAGCCATAGCCCATTATGATAATGGGCCTCTTGAACGTAATGTTTGTTCGAAGCCCATAAACCATTCCTATAATCACCCTTGTTTTACATGATAGCAAATTGGCAATTCCAAATTAACACGCAAACAGGTGACCTGGGCCCTAAATTTTGAAGATGCAGCCCAAATTAGAAAGCCCACCGGGATCTAATAAGGAACAAATGCTCAATATCATGGTCTTTATTATTTTAATAAAATTACTAATTTTATATTATGAGAATTTTCACAGTCTGATGTTGGAATGTTAAATTAGGTTACAAATTAATCTTTAAGATTTTAAAATCAATTATACCTTATTGCTTTGATTATAAGGAACTCCTTACTCATTTAAAAATTTTTATATTGATGTTAATATAAATTCTAAAATTGCTAATTTTGAAATCATAAATAGCTTAGCTTATTGTAAGACAAATTCCAAGTTCTTTTTTTCAATTAGGCCCAACTAATAATAATAATAATGTTTTTTATCATAGAATTTTAAAAAGAAAGAAGTGTGTGAAGCTTAGAATATATAACGTTTAGAACATTTGATACCCTTATGTTGTAAGCTAAGAATATATTAAACTCGGTTCGAACATACCCAGCTAAAGAATTGGGTGGATGGATCATTGATTTAATGAGTGGATTAATGGGTGGATCATAAAAATATTAATAATATATTAATTAAATAATTATAATTTAAAATAATTACAATAAAATAAAAATAATTAAAATATTAAAAAAATTCTCTGAATTAATCGGGTCTGCATGGATCGATCAATTCCACCTTCAATCAACCAGTTCAATCCAGTTTTTTTTTCCTTAAATGGTTCAAAAGCAAAACCGACTTGTATTTGAGGCTGGTTCACCAGTTCTCTGAGTTGACCCGTCAGATTAGGCCGAGTTTAATAATTATAGTTATGAGATATATTCTTGACTATGTTATGTTTGGCAACAGCTTTTTTAAGTAGCTTTTAGGATTTTGACTGACGCAATTTTTTACAGTGTTTGATAATATAGCATTTATACTAGCTTTTAAAAATTAAAATAGCATTTTATAAAAAATTAATATATGTAACATTTAGTTTTTAGCTTTTTATGAAAAACTATTCAAACAACTAATAGCTGAATACTACTAAAACAACTAACAACCATCAAAACATCTAATTTTACTGAATAGACTAGATATACTAAGTAGAAAAATAGTGATGATGGTGAAATGATTATACAAGCTGAATATAATTATGCTCCCATAAAAAAATATTAATAAAAAAAAATACAAATCATAAGAACAAATTAACAACAATAATAAAAGCTCTTAATATAATACCTAAAAAAAAAGGTAAACATAAAAAAGAATTCACACCAATCACCAATGAAGAGAAGCAAAAGAAATGTAAGAAGAAAACAATCCTATAAATAAAAATCACATACCCTTAATATAATTCAGTACTCTATATCACAGTAAGTCCTTTGAGCAATCTTTGTAGAAGGAAAGTGTACCGGCACTGAGGGACACAAAACCTTCAGAGTTCTATGCCTCAATTTCAATACTCCAACCTTAAATCTAATTCTTGCATGAAGCATAACATCTAATTGAAACTGTCCTGATCTTCTTTCAAGCCTCAAGTCTCTAGACAACCCATTTGACAATGCCACCTCTCTGGCTTCAAGCTTTGGCTCCAGCTGAGTAATATTCCGGCGAGGTTGATAAAATGGCTCAAGAGTGTTAAAAGCAATGGTTTGATCATCATAAGATAAAGAAACTTCAATAGAATCATAATATATAGAGATTCTGCGATTAGGGTTATGTGCCCTAATGACGAAGTCAAATGAGGCATTTAGGTGGTTATAGTGGAGGTTAAAGTTATTGATCGAACCATTTTCAACGGAGTAGACAATCTGTTTTGGCTTGATTACTAGCCAAGTGATTAGCACAGCTATACCCACAAGCACTATTAAGGTTAGTATGACTATAGCAATGATTCCCAGCATTTTCGAGTGGGCCGGCCGGCCAGAGGCTTGTGCTGTGGCCGCTGCAGGCTGTTGGGTAGTATTACCACCGGCCATTGTGAAGGATATGTGGATGTATGGTTCTTCTAGGAGTGATCCAATCTGGTTATAGTTTTATAGAGGATAAAGAGAAGGCAGGGATTAATACATTGATTAGGGCAAAGATAATCCAAGATTATGCTTTGGTGGGAAAGGATTTGCTGGACCTATATTAAATTAATAGGTTAGATACAAGAATTGAGAATCTCTCTTTTAAATTTGAAATTTCCCCTTTAATTTGCTTTTTTTCTTCATTGTTATTATATCACTTTTTCTCTTTAACATTTCTTGTGAGAAACTCAAGAGATCTGAGCGATTCTTTAGGTCAGATTGTTCTTTTCTTCAGATAGAATGTTTCAAGATTCATTAGAAATGTACTTCATGATCAGTTAGACATAGGACACTTTAAAGCTTTCATTCATCATTCCAGCGCATATTTGTTCACTCTATTCATAGTATAATGCTTTAATTTTTTTTTTTTTTTTGTTTATTTATTTCGTTTTTGAATCAATATGAAAAGAAGAATATGCTGCCACAATAAAGATTAATAAATTATATTATTACTTGATATATACCTAGTGTGAGGCTTAATTAATCAATATGAAAATGCTGGTTTTCTAAGTAAACTTTATCATTTTTGGATGATTTTGTTCAAGAGTTGAACTGATCAACTGGGATTTGAAACATCGAAAATGGATATATATATATATATATATATATATATATATGCCATCTTTTGAAAGTGGATAATTAAGAGTTCTGTGAGTTTGTTCCTCATCCTACTTCTGAAGCTATCTTTTCATGGGACCTTTATATGCTGAAGCAACCTTTTTAAGTATGAAACTTTTCTATATACTTTGTTTTCCATATACCAATTCTTGCTTTGTCTCCAAGTGATGCCAAATCTATCCATTTCTAATTTCCATCAAAATAGGACAGGATAGTAATTTTGAACTTAACTAGTCTCCCTTCTCCCATCTAAGAATGAAATTCTTGCAAAAAATGGCAATAATGAGCTTATCATAGTAGCTTCTTGAAAATACTTGGATTTAGCAATAACATTTATAATATTTCTCTTCTTATTTTTCTGGTTTACATATCAAATTTCACGCATTGTACTGAATTATTTCTCTTATCTGATTGACGATATTTATATAATTTGATATTCAAGAATTTGTAATAAGAATAAATTTTTATTTTTAATCTAACTCAAAGAATCAAATTCTAATAAATAAAAAAGAATACAACACATCAGTCCCATTTAATTTAGCTCTTAATTATTTGCTTATGCTTCCTTTCGACGAACCATTTATGTTGAATTTAAGTAAACTTTTTTCAGGTTTCTTCCGGTAAACAGAGTTATTGGAATCCCCTTTTTTATCCGAGGGAGGGAGAAGCTACTATTGACCAAAGTCAGAAAACACAACCAGTCACTTGTACTGAGAGAAAGATTTATAGACCGTTTGGAATAAATAAATCATGGTTGTAGAATTCATTCGTAAATGAATTCCAAGTAGAATTTATTTGCAAATGAATTTGTCATATTTACTATGCTACAATTTAAAATAAAAGATTCAATTGAATTCACAAAATTATGTTTGGAATGAATTCTTAAATGAATTTTCGTTCATTTTTATTTCTTATAACCCCTTGACATAATTAATAATTTAACAAAAATAAATAACTAACACCAATTATATTTATTATGTACAATATAAAAACTTGACATTTTTTATTAAAATATAAATAATAAGTTTCATAAAAATAAGTATACTAATATTCCACGATAATTATTTAATTATATATACAGTAACATTCATCATGATAATAATTTTAATTGATGTAACAAATTTTGTTGATTTAAGTAATTAATTTAGAAACTAAAAAAAAAATATTAAGAATGTTATTATTGTTTTTAATTGCATGAAAATAGTTGTTGATACTCGGTTTTTATAGTTTCACGATAATAATAATTAACGTTGTTATTAGACTTCAAAAAGAAAAAAAAAAACTTCACTAATTTCAAATTTTCCAAAAAAAAAAAAAAACAAAAAGGAAATAAAATAAAAATATAAACTAACGTCATTATTGGATTAAAAAAAATAACTTGTTACAGTTTGGAATTTTTCAAAGAAAATAAACAAAAAGGAAAAAAAAAGTAAAAATGGTTGAGTTTATAGTGGAGAGTAATTTTGTCAATAAATATTTCAATGGTCAATTTTGTGAAATTCATTTACAAATTCCATCAATTTTAGTAGAATTTGAGTTAGGCAATTCATTTACAAATTCCATCAATTTTAGTAGAATTTGAGTTAGGCAACCCAATTCCATAAAATTCAATTCATAGAATTCAAATCTGTATTATTTTTCTTTCCAAACATTATATTTTGAATTTCTAAATAAATTTCACAAAATTTAATTTTATGGAATTCATTTATTCCAAACGGGTCTTAAAGTTTTAGCCTTAATCAATCAAAACACAACCAGGCCCGGTGGGTATCGGAGACATCTTAAGGGATTTAAATGGCTTTGTTCTTTGCATTTTCTATAAAGGTACTGGAGTCATGGATTCAAATCAAGTTGAAGTGCTTGAAACTTTACAAGCATTGGAGATTTATGCTTCTTCTAATACAGATCTGTCCCTTTAATTATTGAATCAGATTCAAAAAATATTATTTTATATATGGGTTATAAATAAACTTTCAAGACTTCGGCAATGGTGGATAAATTTCAATAAGCTGGATTCCATCATTTTTTCTTTATCGCATGTGTTTTTCATCCATGCAATCAGATCTAAAAATTCATTTGTTGATACCTCAACAAAGAAAAGAGTTGATTAAGTGAATCCTTTTTTAGCTTGACTTTAATCTCATTTACTAGCTCTTGGGATAATTGATTGGGAAGAGTTTTATTTTCCCTCCTTGCTCCTTTTCCTCACTCATGAAAGAAGCCGAATTGTTTTTAATTCTCTATTTCTGCCTGTAGGCTTTTCTCCTCATTTTTAGATTTAGATTTTGAGGGTATATGGGGGAAAATCTGCTGATTTGGATGTAGAATCCTGGATTAGGGGGATTTTCCTACTTGCTTCAGCTATTTTCTAATGGATGTAGAATCCTGGATTAGGGGGATTTTCCTACTTGCTTCAGCTATTTTCTAATAATAATATATTTATATTTGTTGATAAAAAAATTTATTTGCTTATATATATGCGTGTGTGTGAGACATATATATTAATGCTAATCGTGTCCTAATATTTAAAATTAGGTATCTTTGATATTCCTATATAGGTAACGCTATTTGAGTCTCCATATATAGTGACTTTCACATGTCATGCATATCAAAATCCAAATATCTTTCATTTCTTTTTAATATTTCCCCCCACATGGGCATTACGCCATCACCAAAATGAAATTTTTATCCTCATATATACTTTTCCTTTTTCAAGAATAGTGGAAGGAAACCATGCTTTATTAAACACCAGTAATGGAGACAAGCAGAAAAGCCATTGCAGGAACACTAGGATTTCAGAGTGAATGCCAAAAACCATCTCACGGTGTCATCACGCGCTAGACGGCTTTGCAATTTTGCTAGGATCGACGTGTGTTATTTGATTGGCCAGTGATGCTAGCCTGTCCTGATTGGAGCGTGTGGCGCGTTAGGGTTACAAAAAAGATGGTGTGTTCATCAGAAAATGCTGAGCAATGGGGTTGGTAGCCGCATATCCTTTGGAAGATGCTCCCCTTGCTAACTCATAGGAGAAGGAACCTAATTACTTTTAATTATTCACACTAAATGTTTAGGATTTTGTGGGTTTTATTAAGTTTATTTTATATATTATTTATATTGCGATTAACATTTTAGAAAAAAAAACATGTCATTATAATATAGAAATAAATATTTAAAATTTTACCTATTTTAAAATTTGACATTTTAATAGGAATGTACCGCATTTCTAGATAAATTTTACCCGTAAAATAGAGAATTCAAAATTTAAAGTCACTATTATATATTGGACACCTTGCCTGGAAAACAGAGAAAATCACTTTGTTTCTTCCTTATAAAGATAAAAATTCCACCTTTGATCATCAACATCTCAATCCACCTATAACTAAATAACGCAGCATATACATATATGAGCTACTTGAAGTTGAAGGTGATGATCACTAGCCATTTCTCTTAGCATTAGTGCCACCCCCCACATGTCTAAACCCCCACTAGGGTTTGGCTTTGGGTTGGTGGGAGGTGGCGCTATAAGCTCTAAACAAAAAATTTGGGAGAGTAAAAGACAATTAGTCTCCCACAGGGCAACCTCAATCCTTTGGCATTTTCAACTTATGTATCGGTGATATTCTCTTCCTTCTCTTAGATTGGTAGCTTCATGACTTGACATGGAGTTCCAAGATTTTGAAGGTATTAATTATTGATAGATCATCTTGAGAGCAAGTTAGATTCAGTTTTTTGTTCTTGTTTTTCATGTTGATTAGATTCTTATGTTCTCTTGTTTTTGTGCTCTAGAGATATATATGTATCTTTCAAGTTCTTGAACTGTATTCAAAATTAAGTGTAAGTTTATACGTTTAGAGCACAGATTTCGTTCCTTCTGGTGCTAAATTTAGTGCTTGTTCTTCTCCTTTTTCTTTTTTTCTGTGGAGAGTACACAATATATATGCTTAGCATAAGATTAAAAATTTCCATAATCCAATATAAACTATATAAATATAAATTATTGATATTTAATCTATAGTCCTAATGTTACTTTTTGAGCAAAAATCAGAGCTTATTGCATATGATGAAAGTTGAGTTCGTTTTTTTTGTAATTTGTCCTTGATTGCAAATGTTTTGTTGTGAAAACGAAATGATAAGGAAAATAAATGTCTAATTTGAAAATTCTTACTTTTAGAATAAATCCAATGTAATTTAATGATAATTTTTAAAGATTATACTCAAAAAATAAATATTATTCAATAAAAATTAAATTATTTGAATATAAAAATATATTAAACAAGATTTAAATTTTTTAGTTGGAGTTCTATTATTATGATTGTAGAACTCTTTGAGGTAGAGTTTAGAGATAATAGCTGATGGGTTGAAAAAATCCAACAAGAGAATGAAGAGTCAGTGATCCTGAAAGAGTTGCTTTACGCTTAGAATGATCCATCTCCGTTTAATTTTTATTT